GAGAATCGAAAACATATGTCCACACAAAGAACTGTATATGAATACTCATAGCAGTTTGGTTTGTAATAGCCAAAAACTGGAAACAACCCAAATGTGCATTACTGGGTAAATGGATAAAAAATCGTGGTATATCCATGCAACAGGATACTACTGAGCAGTACAAAGGAACAAACTATTAACCATGTAACAACATCAACAAATCTTAAAATAATTTTCTGAGTGAAAAAAGAACATAATGTGTGCTTCTATTTATATGAAATTCTAGGTAATGCAAACTAATCTATGATGACAGAGAGCAGATTGGTGGTTACCTGAGAACAGGTGAAGGTAGGAAGGAGGGGGAAGAAAGGAATGAATTACAAAGCTACATGACAAACTTCTGGACTTAATAAATACCTTCCTTTTTTGATTGTGGTCATGGTCTCCCAAATATATACATATAGCAAAACTCATGAAATTGCACACTTTAAATATATACAATTTATTATATGTTAATAATACCTCAATACAGTTATAAAATCATACAGACAAAAAAAGGCATAAAACATTCTCTATTTGCCACTCTCAGAATAAAGCTAGAAATCCTTTTGGCAGAAAAGAAGGAAAGAAAAAAGACAAAAAAACAAAAACAAAACATCACCACCACGAGCACCACCACGACAAAGAAAAGGTGATTTTGAGTCAATTACTATGTAAAGAGGCCTCGTTTTTTACTCTGTAAAACATGGATAACGCATATCACCAGCTCTGCCTATCTCTTTGGGTTCTTCTGAAAACAAGGTGAGACAAGAGGTATGAAAGTACTTTGTAAACTACAAAATGCTACACGAATGTATCTGTCCTTATTATAATTCATCTTGTTAGATTTGGCACATCATTTCAGTCAGTTGAGATGATTTTACATGCTATCTTCATCATTCCACATTACTAGTTTCCTTCCCAATCTCATGTCCTTTTCCAATTTAATCATCAGATCACTATGCTTTTCTACAAGTCATTAACAATTATCTGAATAGGTCAAAGTCAAGAATATCTGTCACACTCTACTAAAAGATTGCATGTGACATATTATGGATAATATCACCTCAATACTTTAATTCTATAATTACTTAGTTACATGTCTACCTGACTATACTGTTCGCCCACATTTCTCCATCTTGTCCAATTCAAGATATAATACTTTATCTATACCCCTTCGTTCTTCTAGTCTATTAAAACCTACCAAGAAGGAGAAATGAAGTTGTTCTAGAATTTTTGTTTTAATGAATCCAGAATAGCTCCTAATGTTCATTACTTCCTGTGATTTAAAAAATAAATTTTAATAACACATTCTAAAATCCTGTGCCTCACCAACATCAAGTTCACCACATTTTGTAAAGTAGAATCTACTTTCTTCCTTTTCCTTCTGGAAAAGTAAATTTGTCTATGTTCAGTTTTACAACACTTCTGCTCTCTTACGCAGTTATTCAAACATTACTTATCAGCATGATGTCTCAGTATCCCTACAAGATCATTTATGTGAGCAACAAAACTTACAGCTAAGGTGGCTGGGTACTCCTGGACAATCAACCCCCTTACCTGTCTCAGGCTTCACTTTCCTCTTATCAGAGATTATTTTCCTCTTACCATTTCTTATTTGAAGGTTATTTTATTTGACGAAAAATAAAAAGAGAAATAATGGGACAGAGCCACTCTTCTTATACTCTGTTACATCACTGATCCCACGTAATGAGCCTTTGGTCTTGCTATAAAAATATCTTTACAAAATCCTTTTGTTTGCCTCAGCATTTGTCAACAGTTCAGGTTAGGTAACACTTTTCCTAACACCATTTTTATAGATCTTTATTATTCTTTTACACTTGGGTATACTGTGCTCTTTTCACAACCTTTGAGAGATCACAAAATAATACCTATCCATTATCCATTTTTTCCCTCACTATGGCAATTCATGACACATATCATGAATTTCATTTTTTCGAGCCTCCAATTCTCAAGTCATTTTCCCAGTTAGGGCCCAAGACACAGGTCATGAGAGAGCATGTCCCTAAATATTTGTGAAATCTGATTTCGTAGAACCTAGCATATATTTCTGATGATGTTTAAGATTCCCCTCCCAAGGCAAAACAGACCTTAAGAAGACAAACACAACATGGCTCACCCATGACCTCTGTTACTTCTCCATCAGCTATTCTACCCACTGTGAGACAAAATTGTAAAGTTTGGCAAGTCAAGGATTCACCAGTGCATGCTGAGCTGAATAATATTTAGACTAGAAAGGTTATTAGATCCTATGCTACCTTACCTCTGTGAGTTTTAAAACTCTGCAATTTGCTTCTTTGTCTCTGGAAAGCCTACGATAACATCAAATTTAGGACCCAAGATTCACAGCCCACGAAAGACTTCATGCCTAAAACACTTTTTCAGAACATCCTGGCAAATCCTTCCTCATTCCCAAGAAACTCTCATAGGACCAAAAACTCTGGGTATAAGACCTAAATCATTCTTGAACAAGTTCTCAAAAGAAAAAGGTTTTACCTATCCAGAATCAGTCTAATTTCGAGTACATTCTCTCCATTCCCTGCAGTACTTCTGCCAGAACACTCCAACTTCGGGAACAGGTGTGTTCATATTTAGATAGTCTTTGACCCAAAATTTCATTTAAATGCTCTCTTATGTCCTCTTGTAGTACTCTGACTCTAGGCACCATGCCTTAAACCCTGGGACACTAGACATTAGCTAAGATTATTCACTACTATCCTCTACTTACGTTTCTTTTATCTTTATTAAGCTGCTAAGATTGACAATTATTCGACAAGTTTAATCTGACATGGATTTAATGGCTTTTATGTGAAATTAGGTACACATGAGCAGAGAAGTTGGGGTCCAAAGACAAATTTTGCCCACTTTCAACCTTATCTCGGACTAGTCCTGGTGACAACCACGGTATTCTGATGAAACTCCAGATCCCAAGTGGGCAAAATCTCTATTGCTCTGGTGACTCTGTAGGGCAAGGCAGAAGCCTGAAGTTACTTTTACCAAGACTGGATTAAGCCCTCAGTTGTAGAGTCTCTGAGAAAACAGAGAACTAGAGCCAAGATCACCCAGAGGAAGGGCTTGATGTCCAAGAGATCAAAGTAATAGCGGACAGAAAGAGCTAAGGCCTGGGGAAGAGCATATAGGGGTATGTGAAGACTGATTTTCAAACTAAGGCATTCAGTTAAGTAGGGGCACCCAGCTGCTCAGACACATATGGTTTGGGAGCCTTTTAGCTGACAGAACCATCCCCAGATGCTGGTAACTGGAGTCAGGTAAACACTAGAGATTGGATTTAAAGCAGGACAGATTAAATAGTTTAGGATGAAGCCCTGGGCATTGACATTTTTTAAATTTCCAAGTGATTCTAATGTGTACCCAGGGTTGAGAACCATACAGTTTATGAGAAGATATAACCATTTCCTTCATAATGTTAACAACCCAAATAACTAAAAACACAAATTTAATGAACAGCTAGGTTAAACATTCACCTCAAGTTCATAAATTTCATGTTCTAAACAAGTTTTGATACCTAAAAGGAGAAAAAAAATGTTAGATCACAGACATGATTAAAACTTGAGGGCAGTGGAAAGCCCTTCACTCAGTATTCCTTCATTCCAAATTAAAATACAAATTAAGAACATTATATTGTAGGAGCCTGCTAAGTACCAACAATCAGCCTTCTATACACCAAAGACCAATTTCATAAACCTTCTCTGGCTCAGCACAGAGTTTGATATTATACACTAATTATTAGTAATTACTAAATTATCTAAAGGCAAATTACACTGAATATTAACATTTAAAACCCCATTTACAAAGTGGCAACATTTACAATTTTAGTGAAATGCAGCAACTTTGAAATATAATTTTCACCACATCAAATTCAAAACTTTATAAGGAAAATTACAGCAGAATCAGAATTTTAATTTTTAAAGCACTATGAAAATAATTAATTCAGCAGATCATCTTTAAGAAGTAACTTGACTTACATACTTTCTGATGGCCTGGAACTACTATGAAGCAAATTCTTTTCACATCTGAATGTAATGAATCACTTTACCCTTTCCTAACCATTATCACCTACTTTGGCTTGCCAAAAAAAAAAAGAAAAAATTTTCTATTTTAAAGCAGTTTTCAAAAATATTCCTAACTAAAAAGTATTAAAGACTTAGTAAAAGTGTATATGCAATGCAAAAAAAAAGAAAACCAAAACAAGATTAAAATTCAGAAACAGATATAGGTTTGTTACAGTTCTGTCATTAACTATCTGTGTGACTTGACCAAGTTACACAGTCTCTGAAAAGCAGTAATCATCCTGCAACTTGCATATGTGTGTGTTTGCACAAGTGTACACCAAGACTAAAGTCTACTCCAGGCTTCAAGTTCTGTTTCTAATAAAAAAGTAACAACAGGAAGAATTTGGAGACTGTGGGTTAACTAAAGCACTAGTATATCTGTGTTTTAGTTTTAATATATTTAAATAACCCAAACATTTCAAAGTCTGTGACTACAGGTAAGATATGAGACAGGATTTTAATATCCATAACAACATATGTTATCAATATTAATATAAATGCTTAATGAGGTTCTAAAAATAGTACATTGTTACTGAAAAAAAAAAGTGTCACAGAGAAGCTTCACTTCCTACTCCTGCACTCATCTACCACTTTAACACCCCCATGTTTCTTGATGTGTCATTACTTTTCCTCTAAAATATATTCCCCAGTTTCTCCCATCTCTGAGAAAAAGTATAGTGTTCTCTTTTGTCATATTTAAAAGTTGGCCTTTCACTTTACTGGCTCACAGAATCAAGAAAAAATTTTCTTCACCTAACTTTCCAGGACTGGGTAGGAACTGGCTATAACTATCAAAACTCTTAATAAGAGGTACTTTGGAGAGACAGTAGGCCTCAGACTAGAATGCTTATACTTTTTCAGTTTAAAAGTAAGACTCAAGCAACTTACCATTGTTCCAAAAGGAATGGCTCTTGAAGCATGGTAATAAATGGCTATAAAATTGATGAAGAAGGCAGTGCCACACACCATAGCAGGGATAAGGAATGCCCCAATAAACATCTGCTTTATCCATCTCCTTCCTGAAAGAGAAGGGAAACTATGGAAATCAGAGAGCTAGACAGACAGGCATATATTAATGTTTAAAAGGTGATTATTTAGTACCAAATTATTTATTTAAAATTTTAATGTAAAGATCTTGAAATCTGACATCTTAATAACTGTTTCAAAACAATAGCTAATAAAGACCAGTCCAGCTATTCAAGTATGTCTAATGGAAACAGCTTTTGAAGTGAGTGGACTGGAAAAGAGCAATGAACTGTAGTAAAATATTCTGATGTTTTGTCCTGATTCTGCACTGAACTGCTATGAACTTTGGTAAGCCACTCAATCTTTCTGGGCTAGAAGTCAACCTAGATAGGTGTTTTCAAAACAGTACTTCGAGTTCTGGAGGTTCTTGGAGGTGCCTACGAAGTTACCAGTGAAGGAAGAACCCAGGTCTCCCAGCCCTCCTTCAACCAGGACAACTCCATTTTCAACAGTTTTACATATTGGAGTTTCATGTAAACTTTCATTTTAAAAGAGGGTTGCACTGCTTTAAAAAAAAAAAAAAAGAAGTTTAAAAACCCCTGGGTTAAATGGTCCCCAAATTTACTTAGCTCTATAATTATGATTATAAATATATACTTAAATTTCCGTGTTTCAAAAAGAAAAAACAAAGAATGTATTTCATGAGCTCTCTCTCAGCAATTAGAACTATAGATTTATAAGTCTTACTATTCGTACTCTTTGTATAAAATTCTATACAGTGAGCATCTATTATTTAAACAATCAAGGGAAGGAATTTCTTCAACTATATAATCAAAAATTTTAAGTCATGTTCACATTGACCAGGAGAACAACAAGGAGCCACCACAGCACAGTGCACAAGCAAGTGCACTGCCAGGGAAGCATCGTCACACTGCTAAGGAGCAGAGCGTAAAGATTTAACACTGGATCACTATTAAAATTCACCCCCACAACCAGAAGCAACAGGGACCCAAACAGAAAGTTCTGCAGGAAAAACAAGCAATACTCTTAACTTTTGTTTTCTTCTATATAAAGTCCTTTTTACACATCTATCTCATAGAATTCCTACCCCAAATTTTGACATTCCTTCAGAAAAATTCCTTGATTCTGAACTTTCACCTCTATTTAACTTCTTTCTAAGGTAAGTTTCAAGAACCTCTCCATTCCAAACTAATACCCAGCACTTGAACAACACCACAAAAAGGTGGCAACTAATTAAAGTATTATTTCTCCAATTTAATTCCAATTCTTTCCTAGCATTCTCTTTTCCTGCACTTTTCATTATCTTCTCAGGATCAGACATGTATGAATAAATTCCATATTCAACTCTATTTCTCCCTTTCCTTGCAACAGTCAAAACAGATTCAGACATGCATTAATAAATTTCATATTTAACTCTACTTCTCCCTTTTCCTCCAACAGTCAAAAAGAATTCCATGCACATTCCACTGGGCAGAATCAGTAGCCCAGGCACCTGCACTGTTATACATTCTACTGCTCCCCACACCCGTGGGAGACTCTAGTCAAGTTCCAGGCTACCCCTGGCTTCAAACTGGGTCTGGAGCATTATGCAGTACACTGAGGACAGTGCAGAGACCTTGAGCTCCATTGTAGTTCAAATCCGGAGACAGCTCTGAAAAATTCTCATTTTCTCTGGGTTGATCCCTACATTAACCTAGTTTTCAGGGACTGTTCAGACAAAATATCAGGACGTAATCAGACCTTCTCAGGGCATTGTGAATCAGAAAATAACCTTTAGATTATACTTGGTAAGATCTGATACTCCTTGGCTTGAGTCCAAACTCTGTCAGCTTCAAGAATAAGTGTAGTAAAGTTTGGCTGAGTGTTCTTAACTTGTAATCAGACTAAAAGCAAACTGATGTCCAAGTATGAATAAATGTTCTGTTTTAAATAAATCTGTTTCTGCTGTAGAGACTTTTTTGAGGTCATAAACTGTAAAAATCTTAGCCTAACTCGTTTCCAGGTCAAATTCAAAACAGAATTTACTTTAGGCATCCTTATTTCCTTAGAATGATAGTCCTGTATGATAAGACTCATTTCCCATATCCGGATGTAGAATGTAGAGACTGAACACCCAAACTAAAATAGTCAGGAATCCATAAGCACACTCCCTCAGGCAAGCCAAAGGAATTATCTATACTGAAGGTTCAGACCACATTAAGTCTAGTAGGACCAATAAAAAAAGCAATGGTAAACCAGGATATCCTGGGGGAATTTTAAGTGATCCTATGCTCTGAGCTCCTATAACCTATAAGTCTATAGTCTACTAAAAGAAGGCACGATCACTAATGTTGACACTGCTTAGATGGACTGGGAAAATCACATTAGGAAGTCTCTATCCTTAGGAATATAATTTTAAGGTCTTTCAACAACCCTTCATTCATAAACTGAAATACGCAAATCTACTATTTTCAGCACTTTTCTGGACCCCAATTACAGGGAAAACAAAGGAACTTAAAGACCCTTGAATGCCATCACAGAAGGAAACACAAAGGAGCAGTACCTGTGTATCATCCACCTATCCCGCATCATTTCCAGGTCAAAATAGTAAAGAAGCAAGGGGGTATTTAAGATGGAGTGCTCTTAACAAAAGTTTGTGACAGAAACCTTTGCGTGGGGTCCTTCGATAAACATTTAAGAGTCAACATAAATAAACAGCTCTCCTTCCTATTTTGTTTCCACCGTCCAGACACTTTATCCATCGCCATGAAACATGTCTTTATATTCAGCTATAAAGCTATATGCTCTGTGTGGAGGTCTCCCACAGAGCACTTCTAGGGAGTTAGGCACCTCAGAGCAAAACAGTATCAATAACTTAAATACACTCTCTCTACATGTTCCTCAGGGCTAACTTCACAGTGGACAATGGAGATAATCTATTAATTATTTATAATTTTAGAAAATAAAATGCAAAGATTTCACAAAAGCAAGATAGGACACACAATAAATTTGGTGGAGATAATGTGAAATGGGATAACAAAGGATTTTACAACGGCTGTACTGCCCATTTTAAATTCCAAATACCTCACAATAAAATACTACGAACTATAATTAAAAATACAAAGTGATAACCCATAAGTTACCTCCTTGTCTAGCATACAGACTTCCTCCAAAATAACCATTCACTGGAGATGTAGCAGCATAGACAAATATGGCTGTACTGAGCATGGATCCCCTCCTAACAAGGCAAAACAACATGTATAATAAATTAAAACGACAACTTAAAGAAAATATCATATAGTCTATCACATTAAACACATTAACATTAGTTTAATTTCAAAGATTAATAGGAACACAAAAATATCATCCTGGACTGCAAAGGACCTCAAAAGTTTGCCTAGTGGAAAAATTTCTAGTTACAATTGCACTGAAATGATACTAGGCTGATCCTCATTTTTTTTTAAATTGGCAGTTAAATATCATAATGTATTCTAAACAAATATTTCACATTTCTTTGGCAAAAATATTAGAAGCTGACACTAAAATTGTTTTGCAACCCTATGAGCCAATCACATCATATGGAAAAGGATATTCATCTGTTAAGAAAAATAATTAGAATATTCTTCTTTAGAATTTAACTGAAGATTCTTGCCCGACAGAAATAAAATGGAAGTAGTATAATTATATTATTGCTATTACTTTAAATGGTAAAACAGTGAGCCTTTTCCTATTTAGTTTTCCTTATACTGTTAAAAATGATTTTTTAAAAATCCATGGGTCCATATCAACATAAACTCAGATGAACAATTTCTAATCTCCTCTTTCAATAATGATATCTAGGGAATTCAGACCAACCGTCCTGTTGAATAAAACTGGACAAAATATTTTAAATACCTAATTGCAAAGAAAAATATTAAAATGATAAGTGATGGTATCATTGGCCGTAATATAGAAATGTATTTAACCGACTAACAGTAAAGACTTTCTGAAACTCAGCGTAACTAGGAAGGTAAAATAAAGTCTGTAGATAGAACATACAACATTGTCAGTTTGAGCTAAAGACTATTCTTTTAAAGACAATTTACAAGAACATCACACTAATGTTTGCACTGGGAGAATATAAAATTTTCACAAATTAACCTCCTTGTGGGTGGTAATTATTATTATATTCTACTGTCCACCTATGTAGAATACAAAGACATCATACAGTCTTGAAATACATAGACTCCTCTGCCCAGACACCTGTGCTCAATTTCAAGTGGATGTATCATAGTTAAAAATTGCAATATTTAATTTTTATCAATATATAGCTAAATACAAATGTGACAGTAATATAAGAATATGCCATTCCCATGTTTAAAAGATTGTGTGTCTCAAAGTTAATCAGTTTTAAAAACCAGATTTGTTTTTTCAAGCACCCAATTAAACACTGCAAGTACTAACTTATTCCTTCCAAACTATCATTAACAAATCCAACCCATCCTCTGTTTATGATTGGGTGTATAAAGGCTGCCATAAGCCTAACAATGCTGAAAACTGAAAGGCTGCTGTAGTCTAAGACCCGTCTGATACCAGTCAGAAGTTCTTCCCATGAGCAGAGAGGGTTCACAAAGGCTGCTCACGTGGCTGAGAGTCCAAAATAACTACCAGAGATTGAAGCTTGCAGTCCCCAGAGATACTTCCACTAAATGCAAGCGTGAGTATCGGTCACAGTTTTAAATACCAGACATACCCTTCACCTCTTTGTTCATCAAATTCTATGGGCATTTTCCACCCCAAATAGGGCATTTTCCACCCAAAATAGACCTTTCATCTACACTGAAAAATTTGCTGAAGTATGGAACTGTCCTCCTTGTTCATCTCTCCAAGACTGGAACGGGGAAAGGAGCTGCTTCACCTACACTGTCACCTCACCACTCTCTATAGAAAGTCTCAGAGCAGCAGCAGCATTTTACCAGATCTTCTCAAACACCACACCTTCTCCCAGTTAATAACACAGGAATAGGCATCCACGCTGATGCTGATCCTCTACCTACCTAAATATTTTATTCTTCTCTGACTGCTATGGTTATCACCAAGGGAAAGTAAATTTTCACATATTATCTTACCTGCTTTTTATCCTTTAGAATCATTCGTATTCTGGAGTGATTCTTACGAATTTTATGTGCAAGTTTTTCATTTTCTCACCACTTTGTATTTTTATTATCTCTATTTTCATTTCCATAGCACAGCAAATTAAAAGACAAGTTCTGGAGTAAGAATGTCTAGGTTCCAATCCCAGCTTACTAACACCCCTTACTAATAGCTGTGTGATCTCAGTCAAATGACTTAACCTCTCTCAGCTTTACTTATCTCATCTGCAGAATGGAGATAATAATAGTCCCTTCATAGGGCTGATGTGAGGATTAAAGGAGCTAATGTGCATAAAGCACCTAGCAAGGGATCTCAATAATGTTAGTCACTTTTATATCATAATAATACTCACAGCTTTAGTACTTATATAAGTAATTAAGTATGTTCACTGCAAATAAGCACAACATAGAACAACTATCAATAGTGATGACAGACTAAAATAACAATGCATGACTTGCCTGCTAAAACAATCTATTAGAAGCAGTTTCTTATTTCTAAAAGTTGAAGGTCTACAAGCAAAAGAGTTTCTGCATTAAAAAATTAATTGCCAAAATTCTAACTAACATTTGAGAAAGGACGAAGGAAACACTTGGATTCTACAAGAGGTTATCCACTCTTATAAGACTGTGACTGTACAGTCAGTGCCAATTCAGTAGTGATGAATTTAATTCAGTATTTAATGTAAAGTATGACTTCTTGGCAGATTTGAAATGCTTTTCTTGTATTCAGAATTTAGTTCATCTGAAATATATTATATCCTAAAATATGAACTAACCACTAGAATACTGAAGTTTAGGTTTTGGTCAATTATTTTAAAGCTTATATGGTAAACAAATTGCAAAGGTTATATGAAAGAAATATAACAGAAACTACAGACAAATAGCTTTGTTGATTAATATACATTCACACTTCAACAAGTATTGATTACCTTCCACATGCAAAGTTCTTTAAGTAGGTGCTTTGAGAATTCGAAGATAAGTTAAGACTCTCAAGGAGCTGATTGTCTCGTGGAAGTAACAGCAATTTAGCATAGTTAAATATTTAATATACAACTAAAGAGCCATTCTTTCAGCAACAATTCATTGCTTCTCCACCAAATGCCAGGTATATATAAGAATAAATGCATTATGAACTAAAATAGAAGTATGAAACATCACTGGAGACAAGTGTCATTCTGATTGAGGACTTCATGGGGCGGGGTCCAAAGTGCCTGAATTATAACCTCTGCCACTCAGGCTCTGAGAATGTTTGCTTCGTTGAGGTCATGGCTCTCTGAGCACAAGGTTTTAGGACCACTCATTAGGGTCTTGAGATCTTTGTGAATGTACAACCTTTTTATAATTCAAGGATCTCAAATCAAGAATTTCTTACAACTGGTTTTGTCTGCAAAGAAAAAATGGACCAGAAACCATGTGAAGATAGGATAAGAAGTCATCCAATTATTTTTCTAACCTCATGGTGCCTCTTGCACCACTCTCTTTACTATCATTTACAATGCTTTCTTCTGTTGTAGAGAGTCTCCCAGTATTGGAGGTAAATGTGAAGTACTAAGTCAGTAAATGAACTTTCTGTGCTTCTTATGAAGATGTAACTGGATCTTCAGCTTTCAAAAAAATGCCCATTCACTTTGCCAAACAGCCCTGGATGGTACGTTAGTCTGCTCTTACTTCTACTGGAACATAACCTTTATAACCAACCAAAATGTTCAGTAAGGTTAGTTAAGTTTCAGCATGTAACAGAAAAATATACTTATAGCTGAAGATTATTGTTCATTATTTAATTTGTCTGCAATAATCTCATTTATGCTATTTAAATTCTAAGATAATTGAAATAAGCAAATATTTAATTATGATTGACTTAAAAGTTTCCAATGATTAAAACTATTCAAGAACAACAAAAAAGTAATAAAGTTAAGCACATGCACTTACTCTGTATATAAATCTTCTATCATTGCAACAATAATAACAATGAGAGACACAGCAAATATCTGACATCCAGAACCAATAAGAGAGGAAAATAACAGCGGGTGACTTGATGGTCTAAACACATCTCCATGTACCTGCTTCCATCCATACTCATCTCCTAGGTCTCTATCCTATATACATATACACGTAGAGAGAAAAGAAAATCATTCAGAATGAAATCAAAATACATAAATTAAGTGAAAAAGTATAATTACAGTTCTAAGTTCCCTCTCTCCAAACTTACGGCTATTTAAAGGGGTTTAAAACATCGTGAAAAGACATTTCAAATTTAAAATAATCACGACTTTAATAACTTATGATGTTCAAGTGTTGTAGCATTTACTGAGGCACAGGAAGGTGGCTCCTGGTTGTGCCCAGAGAATCTCAAAGAATGGAAGAAGAAAAGGTCTAGGAGCAAAAAGAAATGGTCAGATTGGGAGAAGAGCACACCAGCTCTCTGAATGCTACTTTCAGACACTATTCTTGCCATTTGAATCAGGACTGTGGCTCATACGTGACCAGGGGCCAGGTGGAGAGCAAAAGAGAAGAAGATCGAAACCAGTACTAGTTGCCCTAATAATGCAGAAATGTCCTTTATTGCCTGGAATCTAAGAAAATATATGGGGAAAATACTGAACAGTTAAATATTATTTGTCTATAGCATTTTTAAAAAAGGATTCAATTTTTCCTTTTCAACCTGAGTAAGCAAGTATCTAAAACAGTGTTTCTTAAGAAATATCAGTCCCTCTAGATAATGTGTTTTTTTGGGGGGGAGGGGGAGGGGATCCTGATCAGATATGTTTGAGAAGCACCAAATATTTTATCTACCCTCTGACACTTCACAATACATATTGACATATTAAAATTTTAATTTGTTTAACTGTTTTCCAAACTTACTTAATGATGGAGCATATCTACAGAGAATAGCCACCAACATTCTTCAGAACATACTTTTGCTCATTTACAACACTGTTCTATAATTTAGTAATAAAATTTAGAAAACAACCTCCCCCATTCTGAACTTATTAAACTAAATGCAAATTAATCCTTTCGCCCACTCCCTGAATTTTAGGCAATATTTAACAGTACTAGAAAGATGCCAATACAGGTCTACAACGTCCTAGCTGCAATTCTGAAGTCAAAAGCTCTGAAAACTGAAAGTTTGTTTCATAAGTTTGACATATCCTTATTTGGTGGCAAAACTTGGAGTGAACTAACAAGAGGTTATTTATACTGTTTATTTATCCCACTTAGGGTGAACATTCATATGTTTTGCTGAAAAAATACTAACATATTTGATTAGACACCCCTCAGGGAGTTTTATACCTTTCTAAAACCTGAAAATTCTGAATTCTGAAACTTATCTGACCTCAAGACTGTGGACCTACATTCCAACATTCAAAATAACATTGAGTTCAATTGTTTTTATAAACACAATGTAAAATGTTTGCTCACCATGTCATCCATTTCTTCTTCTTTACTGTACCGGGCATAATCTTTTCTTAAAGTTCTCATTAAAATCATTGAAACTAAGCCCACCAAGAATATAACCATCATGAAGGAGTTGAAAATTGAAAACCAATGAATCTAGAATAAGAGAAAATAAAATATTACCAAGACGAAACATCAGTTACAAAATTTATAGGTTTCATGATCACAATGGGATATTAATGCAAAAAAAATAGTCTTTTAAAACTTTTACATAAAAATCCAAACTTACACACTGCGGACGAGTATTCACTATGCAAAGGGACTGGCGTTCTTTACAGTAAGCTTCAGATGCATTAAAAACATGATATGGTTTATGCAAATTTTCATAATCAAATTTATTGTACAAATAAAGTACAATTTGGCCACACAGCATATGCTATTCAGCATTACAGAGAAAGAACATGAGCTTTGACTCCAGGTTTTTAACCCAGGCTGTGCCAAGTTCCAGCCATGTGACCCCAGTTTTCGTATATCAAAAATGAAGAAAATACAGGGCCGGCCCCGTGGCCTAGTGGTTAAGTTCAGTGCACTCTGTTTCAGGTCCAGATTCAGTTCCCAGACGTGGACCTACACCACTCGTCAGCGGCCATGATGTGGCAGAGACCCACATACAAAATACAGGAAGACTGGCACAGGTGTTAGCTCAGGGAGAACCTTCCTCAAGCAAAAAGAGGAAGATCGGCAACAGCTGTTAGCTCAGGGCGAATCTTCCTTAGCAAAAAAAAAAAAAAAAAGAAGAAGAAGAAGAAAATAATACTATCTCATAAATGAGTTGTGTGGTTTAATAACATAAAAAGTATGGCACTGTGCCTGGCACAGAGCAGTAAATACTCAATAAATGTTAGTTCCCTTCCCACTAACTGAGCAACAACCTGAAAACCTCCTTAAAATACCAAGACTAAACCATCATAGTTGGCTGCCACGGACTTAGGCCACCTTCCAAAATGATTTGCTTTACTTGCTTCCAGTTCAACCTCTCCACCCTATGCCCATCATTTTTTACTCCTTTCCAAATTAGCAGAGAACACTGAGGTAGCCCATAGTTTCTTAATGTTCCCGAGGCTCTTGACTTGGACTTCACTCAGACATTTGTCACAAAATTATGTCCAGATTCTAGTTCATAATCACAAGGTACTACTGTATCTCTGAGAGCACCTCAGAACTCAGTGCATCTCAAAACTTCAGCTAGGTCTGCAGCACTGTCCAGTAATTCCTTTATATTTTAATTCCCAAAAGTTCCTTAGGGATAGTTACAAAATTTCTCTTCTCTCTTCAAGGCCCCAATTTCATTTCTTTTTCTGCATTTATCCTCCTAGCCTTTCATTCCTCCTGTTAATCTCCTGGAAGTTGTTGCTCCTCTTAAATCAATCTTTCCACTAGGCTCTAGATTTCTTTCACTCCTTGAGGTGTTTTCTCCCTCTCTCCTTTTGCATCCCTAAACTGACACTTTTCTCCAGCATCAACAATCTCCAAAGGTCCCTATCTATAATGGTTTCTACTCCCTGGGGTTGTTACATGGTTTAAACAAGATAATAAATGCAAAACATATAGCAGAGTGCCTGGCACATAATAAAACACTAAAAACTATTTAAAAGTTGCTATTACTATTATCATCTTTTGAAGTATTTGCTTGATCTTTTGTCCCCTCACTCGTTCAGTCTTCGTACCTCCCTCCTTTCAATGCCAATAGTTTTCACATGACGAGACCACGTGTCCTACTTCTTCCTTCACTTACTCCTAAACACAATACAATCTCACTGTGCCCAACAAAATTTCCCTCAAAGGCCTGCAATGAACTTCTAAGCCAACTCAGTGGTCAATTATCTGCTCCATTCTCTTGCTCTCCCTGCCACATGTGACCTTTGCTGACACTACACCATCCTACTTCACTGACTGAGCTTCTCCTCTTCCATCCTCAATGCCTGCTTCTCCCACTCTTTGTGAGCTTTTCCAAAAGCTCCTGTCTTGGTACTCTGCTGTGACTTCTTAAAGCTCTCAGAACTCTTGAATCAGCATTACAATGATGACGGTAACACCCTCTGCCTCCTACTCCCACCCAACCCAAATCTCTAGCCCTCTTTCTCATTCATGTTTCAGACTTTTGCTAACTATGATCATTTCTCCCTGAACGTCTTTCCGGAATTTCAGACTCAGACTGTCATAAAGTAAATTCATAATCTTCTGCCTCATATGTAACACTCACTTCGAATTCTAACTTCTGCTAATGATACTAAAATTTGGCTTTGAAAACTCCGAGTTATCTCTGGCTCTTTCTTCTCCTTAATCCTTGTAGGTAACAATTATTAAGCTTTTATTCTCCTTTGAAATGTCTCTGGTATCTATCCCTTCCTCTCCATTCCCATGCCATCACCTCAAACCCTGAGAGCTCTAATGGCCTCCTAGTTGGTCTTCTTAATTTCTGGTCTCTCTCCTTCCTTTCAATCTATCCTGTAAGAAGTTACCCAGCAAATTTCTCTGAAACATCATGTTCATATATCATTTCTCTATTCTAAAACTTACAGTGATGTTCTCTATTTTCTCACATATCAAGTCTAAACTATTTTCCCTAATATTCTATACTATGTGTAATATGGCCACCTCACCCTATCTAGCCAACCTTTCTTTCCATTGTATCCTATACTCCAATCAAGCCTGTCCTTCCTCAGTGACCCACAAGTACAGCATACTCACTTCCACCTCTGTATGCTCATAATTCTTCTTGCATGGGATCTACTTCTATCTACCTTTGTAAATTCTATCTACTCTTTAAAGCTCAACTCAAAAACCCTCTCCTCCATAAAACCTCTCATCTACATATTCCAGTTATTCATAGTTATACTCCTCTAAACTTCTACAGGTACATACATAGAATATTTAACACGCAATTGTACTGTCTTGTACAATTAGGACAGATGACATGTTGAGTATGTGCACCAGGGCGAAGGGCAGTCCTGGCTCTGTCACCCACCCTGAGGCTTCAGGCAAGTCATAAACTTGGTGGCTCTCCCTGAAAAACAGGAGACGGCCAATTGCCTCTGCCTCTTCAGAAGATCATCCCTTCCGTCATTCAACAATTTATTTATTGAATACCTACTGAAATTATAAAGGAAATAATGAATGCATTATATTTTGAAATAATTGCAAAAAAAGGTTATACAAATTTAAGTTTATCACGAAAGTATCATTGAAGATTTATAAAAGCAGTCTAAAATTACAGGCTTTCCCAAAGATTTAATTTTGTTCCCACCCTGGGAAATGAATGATCCAGAAAAGGACAAGAGAGAAAAAATTACATATATGACTCATATTTTCTTTCACTCAATTTATTAAATTTTTGAAGAGTAAAAAAGTTTTATATAGTTACTATTTAGTAATAAGAAAGATACGCCTAAAATACTAAAATTTCTAACAAAGCTCTCTATTTTCTAATCTAAGATATAAACTTTAAACCACTATCTATTATAATATACTAATAAGCTGACATTATAAACCTGACATTTTATAATATTTCTTTATTACAAAAATTATGAAATTCTGTATGATGTTGAAATTACTATGCCAAGGGAAATATTTCTTAAAAATAATAAAGAAATCAGATGTCAAAAGGGGTTACTAACCGTAGGAACTGCTGACTCCAGCACCCCCTAGTGTTGCTAATCCTAAAGCAGCACCCCAGGTTTGTCACAAACTCTAGAACATTGGAGATGACTAATGAACATACCACCAGTGCTGCCTCTTACTGAGCATCCGCTATGTGCCAAACACTGAACTAGGTGCTTTATATGCACTAGCAAATGGAATTTCACAACAACTCTGCAACATATTATAATCCCTGCTTCACTATTAAGGAAACAAAAGCTAAAGAACTGAGTAATTTGACCAAGCTCACGTTACGTGGCAGAGACAGAGTTTATATTCAGCCCGAGCTCCTAAGCCTGTGCTGGAATCACTGTATTAGAAACAATCTTACACTTATACAGTAGATCCCATCCCCTCCCACGCTGTAGTAATTCTCCCCTCTTCCTCCTGCATCGTCAATTTAGCACTCTCTATGAACCCCATCAACATATAAACATGTTTTTCTTACATCTCAAAAAAAAAAATCTCCTGACTCCCATCTTTCCTACTGGCTACTACACCATTTCTTGGCTCCCTTTAGCAGCCAAACTTGCTGTCTCCAATTGCTCTCCTGCCATTCTTACACCAGCTCTGTTCAGATTTTGCCCCACCACCACACCAAAACTACTCTTTGTCAAGTTCACCAATGACTCCAGATGAACCCAACAGTCACTTTCAGTACTCATCTTACTTAACCCATCAGCAACAATTCAGAACTAATCTCTCTGTCCTCCATGATATGCTTTCTTCTCTTGGCTTCTAGAATACCATACAGTTCCCCCCCACCCCACCGTACTGGTATCTCCTCAGAGCCCTCAGCTGGTTTCTCCAAACTTTTACTACTGTTCCCTAAACTTTTATTACTGTCCCCAAGGTTCATTCCTTGGTCCTCTTCTATTTCTACATAATCTTCCTTGGTAATTGCACCGTCTCACAGCTTTAATTTGTATCTCTGGCCCAGACTTCTCTCCTGAACTCCAGATTAATATATCCAACTAGCTGGTCAGTATCTCCATTTGGATGTCTTACAGACACTTCAAAACTAACATGTCCCAAACTGTACTCTAATCTCCTCCAAATCTCCTCCAAATACAGCCTTTCTGCCCTACAGACGGCAGCTTCACTCTAACAGTTGCTCAGACCAAAAACTTGCAAGTTCTTCTCAACCCTTCTTTATCTGCCTATCCATCAGGAAATCCTGTTACGTCTACCTTCAAAATATATCCGCAATCTGACATCTTCTCACCAGCTACACTGCTACACCTTGGTCTGAGCCACCTTCACCTCTGACTGGATTGCTGTGATAGCCTCTCACCTTGCTCACTGACAGCCTTGCTCAATGATAGCCTCTCACTGGTCTCCCTGCCTCTCCCCTTGCTCCCACACAACCTATTTTCAACATAACAAGCTGAATGACCCTTTTTAAACATAAGTCAGATTTGTCATTACCCCGCTGAAAACACTACCATGCCCCTCTTTGCACCCAAAGTCCTTACAGCAGCCATGGCTGATCTGGCTCCTGCTACCTCTCTGACTTCATCTCCTATTACTCACCCCCTCACTCTGCTGCAGCCGCACTGGCCTCCTGGCTGTTCTTCAAGCACACCGAGCATGCACCCACCCAACAGGCTTTCCAATGCTGTTACCCCTGCCTGGAACACTCTTTCCCCCAGATATCCATGTTCCTTATTTCCAACAACTCCTTCAAGTTTTTGCTCAAAAGTCCATCTCAGAGGCTATCCTGACCACCGTATTCAAAACTACAACTTGCCCCGACCACTGCATTCTTGCCCCACTTGTCTACTTTTTCTTTTCGACGCACATATCTTTGAACACACTATACATCTTACTTATTATGTTGATTGCATGTCTCCCTCACCAGAAGGTAAACTCCAAGAGGGCACAGATCTTTGACTTTCATTCTCTAATGTATTCCACTTCCTTAGTACAGTGCTTGACACACAGCAGGTGCTCAATTAACATTTGTTGAAAGAATAAATATGGCACACTGCTCCACTAGTGAAAATGCCAAAAGGCAGCCTTCCCCCCAAGTTATCAATACTCAATGGGACCAGAAACAAGGCAGACAGACCTAGGTATTCTGCTAGGGAACGTCAGTTGAGAGCCCTCACATTCTCAAATGTTATCTAAAGTTATTTGTGCCCATACCTTTAACTCAACTACCATGTTCTGGACTGCCTGAGTTCTATATCTGAGGAGACCACACTGGGAGTGGGTGGAGTGGAGGTGAGGCAGGAAATTTTAAAGCTCCAGGGGGCGCATGCTAAATCTTTGAGTAAAGACTAAATCTCAAATAGCTTAATTTTTTTCTCCTAGGACCCAGCAAAAGATCAGAAGTAGTGACAGGTTCTGGTGGAGTCTAAGGGCGGAATCTGGTGGCAATGATACAAATCCGAGAACACAAAAACCTACAAGCCATCTCAAAAATAGGTTATTAATAAACTTCAGAAGTCTAGTCCAAAAGATCAGATCAAAAGATAGAAGAAGCAAGTCAGGAAGAAAGTCAGAAGAATGAACATACCCCCTTATCCCTTCTCATCTTTTCATTTGCATCCTTGAAGGATAGATAAAAATAGATAAAATCTACTTTTTGCTATAAAGAACCAAAGCTACCACCTGTACAAACCAGCAGCAATGCCACTGGACCTATGATCTGAGATCCAGCTTGTACCTGTTGGTGGGGACGGGACGCATTTCTTCCCATTCTTGATGTTTCTTTTTATGTGAAAGGATTTGCACTAGCAAAAACTCCTGGTCTCACTCCACTCTTTCATTCATTCTTCCTAGAGGATGCATATATTCTGCTTTGTTTCTCCACACTGTAAGTTTTATAAGGGCAGGTGCCCACATAGGAAAGCTTCCATAGTCCAGCACTGAGTGCATTAAGTCTGTCTGATTCTGAGTTTCAAGAGTAAAAAGCACAGCTGACCACAAATATAAGCCACATTCTCCAATACTAGCCTCATTAGTAATAAAAGTGATATTTTGGCTTCCCGTATCGTATATTCTTCCTTGTGTATCTCTTAATTGGCTTAAACCACAGGCATGATGACGGGAGCTTTTGACTGCTCCTCTAAAACTCTCTCACCTTTATGACTTAGAGCTCACTTCTGAAATCACCACTAGTTAAATCTTTGAACTCCACAGCCCTAGCACAGTGCCCTGCATATAGTGGATGCTCATTAATGTTTGTTAAACTGACTCGAACACATATCGAATGCCTTAAAATGCACAATTTACCTACCCTGTGTTGAAAAAAGGACGGATCAAGATATTTGTCAAATCGATCTTCAAATTTTACATCTGACTTTTTCCATTTTACCTGAAAAAAATTTTTTCATTTGAAAATCAAGGTCAGTAAACAAATTAATAATCTGATAACAAAACTGAGCAAATTTGGAAATATTTACACACACAGAATAAGAAACTAGAGAAATGGCGCAAAGTTATTGCCAATTTGAGAAGCTGAAACATGTATGATAAAAAACTAACCAATCTTCCTCTCTGTATATTAACAAAACTTACAACTTTACTTAGAGGGATCATTTCAGTTTTCAAGGACTATTAACTATTGCTGACTTACATGCTCTAAGCTGATAAATGTGATAAGAACTGAATTAACTAGACTAGTTAAAATAAGAATCTGTACATCTTTGTCTTTAGAATGAATTAGTTTTATTACAATTTTCAAATTTCTTTAAGTTCAGTTACGCAAATACTACTTGCACTAGGTACATATGCATAAAGCTTGAAAAATTTTCAAAATTGGCTACTAGCAATGGACTCATTCCAGTTACCAGGAAAAAGACTGGCAAAGAGAGAGGCTACCTATACTGGATTTCATCGGATTTTGAAAAACTTTCAAAATTGGCTACTAGCAATGGAATCATTCCAGTTACCAGGAAAAACACTGGCAAAGACAGAGGCTACCTACATCAGATTTCTCTTCTTTCCACTATTTTTAATCCTAACGAAACAGAATTAACTTGACAATTGCAAAGGGCTCTAACAACCTCTTACTCTGCAGGAGTATTTTATTCCAACTGATAAAGCAAAACCTGGTAAACTGTATCCACTCAGCAATTTTCAACACTGCATCATCTCTATCTGAAACAGTAAAAAGGAAAGAGAAACAACAAGGAATACTGCAATCTAAAAACATAACTACGAAAATACATGGCTGGGTTAGCTAACTGCTCAGTTATAATCATAAACTTTGCTGTAGTCAACAGTAGGTCCTGCAAATGCATAACTGGTATCTAATACTACAGACCTGAAGCAAATCTTCTCCCTGCTTTTAGGAGGCTTACTTACATACACAGAAGAAATACAGTTTTAATAATATTCTGTTGCATCCCATTTCAAGCTCTATTTGCATTTACTAAAGCTGTGAAACACACAATTGTTGATATTAGGTAACACTTTTTCCTGTACACAGTTACTTTAATACTTACTGAATATGACATCTGGATTTTAGTATTGGGAACTAGTTTCACCTTTCCTTCACTAGTTAGATTAACATCAACAATTCTATTTCCATTAAAACCTATTTCAAGTTTTTTGTAGGTCCAAAGATAGTAATCTTCTCCATTTTCATCTGCTTCACCAACAATACCTACAAAAGAAATTACACTTTATAAGGTAATATCACTTAATATTTAAAATACAATAGAAGCTAAAGCTCATAAAAAACTATTTTTATAAAAAAACAATATTACCACTATTCCTCACGGTTAGAACAAGGCAAAAGTGCAAGCTGGACTTCTTCTCGTTAATATTTGGCAAACACAAATCATGGTCACACCATGACCAGCTCAGCACAACCTATCACTAATTTGATCCTCCAAGTTCATGCTTTGTCATTAGTATCACCTAGATTAGAATAATTATCACCCTATATGTATATACTCTCTAATATCTCAAAACTTCAGGGAAGTGCTATATCACCACTGGGCAAGGTTACCCAGTTAGTAGTGGTCAAACTTAAATGAAAGCCAAGGTCTCCAGAGGCCCAGTTCAGAACTTTCTCTAATAACTTATGATCTATCCATTCCTAGGAAGCTGCACATATGTGTATATGGATACCAAAACTTAAAATGCCTCCTCTTTATACCTCAAGTACTAGACCTGACCCTGGGAAGTCATCAAAGTGAGAGGAGTATTGGAGATAAATGGTAATGAGGTAATAGTTGAAAATGATCATCTTGTCACAATGGGGAATGTTGGGAAGGGAAGACCCAAACAGTGTGAGGGCAATAGGTGGTAGCCAAGGATCTATCTCTTGTGATCTCATACTGTTAGCCATTTGTCCAATGTTCCCTACCCAAGCCTATATACTTCCCAAGAGCCTTCTGCTCTAAAGGTTACTCCTTAGGGCTTTCCTTCTATGGTTAATGCATCTCATTAAAGTATTAAGGGAAAAAAATGCTTACTTCTTATTAAGGATTATTTCTTTATTAACCAAAGTTGTTCTCTCTAATTAGTACAAATTCAAGGAATATAGTTTCATTTTGTTTGGGTGCTGTAGAAGGACAAGGAAATCCTTCTAATTAATTTCATCAAGGTTTACTTACCTATCTACTCTAAAACTATGAAGACACAATTATACCAAATCAGAAGCTATTCTCTAAGGGGCTTTTAAAAGACTATGAAACCTTTATCCCAAGATAAGCCAGATAAGAATTTTTTTCTGACGAGAATTCCCATGGTTCAGACACTCCAGGACACCTAAAAGTATCCCCCCTAAACATGGCAAACCTTGGAATCCCAGGACTAAAAAAGATTTATTTAAGACAGGAAAGCATAGTTGCCATGTTGCTAAAGAGACCCACAGAATGACTGAAAAAACCTAAAGCTCCAGACAAGAAACCCATAGGCAATGGAAAAGAACAGGACAGGAACCTGCTCTCTCACCAAAAAAAGAGGAAACCCAGACTAATGGGTTCTCCTGAACTACAGGCTCAGAAATCTTCAGTGAGCATTTAGCACATCTTCCTGCTACCCTCAGAACTGATCACAGAAATGTGTGTGTTAATGTAATACTAATTATAGTCATTTATATGAAATGCTTACTATTTATACCTAATTAAAATGCAACTCAGTAACGATGATGCATATAATCATATCTTGAGATTAACTTCTTATAAATTTCATCTTAGTACCACATTAAACTCTGATCTGATATGTTCAGTCTTTTAGTTTGCTGCTCATGAATATAGTAGTCTGCTAACAATTTTAAGAATTAGAATATTATATATAAGAACAGGTGTTTAAAGATCAAGGAGAAAACCACTAAGAGAAAAATGTGTCAAACACGCCAGCTATGATATCCGGCTGTGCTTTTGCATTTTAAATAATTTAATCAAGCTCAACACAAACAATGTTTGGATTACCATAAGTTTGTATTAACTATGCCATAGCTCTTCTCCATTAATATGAATAAACAAGAACTAAAATATAAAAAAATTTTTAAATATACACAGTTTTGGAAAATAACATAGGAACTAGCAAAACAAGTCAATCAGGAGACTACAATATTTAAAAACCATACTACCAGAGTTCCACATGAGAGAAAGTCAGAATAAAACTTCAAAATCCTATTTAGTCCTTTTGACTATATTTACTAGAATAAGTCAAAATGAGATATGAGCTAAAAGGGGGAAGGGGGATATTTCAGATTGTTCAAAGCACCTTTTAATCCCTTGAATCTGAAAAGTTACACTATATAAAAGTTGTACTTTGAAGGAGTTTAATGTAAGGTTTGGCAATGTCAAAAACGCTTCGAGTAACAGGGGACTATAAAATTGGTATTAATGGGCCGGCCCGGTGGCTTAGCGGTTAAGTGCGCGCCCTCCGCTACTGGTGGCCCGGGTTCAGATCCCAGGCGCGCACTGACACACCACTTCTCCGGCCATGCTGAGGCCGCACCCCACATACAGCAACTAGACGGATGTGCAACTATGACACACAACTATCTACTGGGGTTTTCGGGGGAAAAAAAAGGAGGAGGATTGGCAATAGATGTTAGCTCAGAGCTGGTCTTCCTCAGCAAAAAGAGGAGGATTAGCATGGATGTTAGCTCAGGGCTGACCTTCCTCACACACACACAAAAAAAATTGGTATTAAAATCATTCTGTGGAAATGATCTGTGTAAAATCTGATTCAGTGTATAATCACCCTAACAGAGTCATTACATAAATCTTATTATGCAACTATTCCCAAACTTTAAATATAATATACAATACTTACCCCATATTGGTAAGTCATCTATGTACATCTGGTACCAGTAGTGATTTTTGATAGCATACACAAATGCATCTCTCTTTTCTTTATCTAAGTCAATTTCACAGTAAGTGGCCGGCATCACATCATCTGCATGAAATAAAAATTGCAAATGAGCACACTGGTTTGCAAAATAGTTATAGAAAAATAACCCAAGAAAAAAGCCAACATTTCCTGAAGTTAAAATTTCTATTCATAATAGTTGAATCTGAATGATAAATATATAGGGGTTCAATACACAATTCTTTCTTTTTCGTGTATGTTGAAGATTTTCAACAATACAAGAATTTTAATCATCTTTATTTTCAAAGATTATCTTACTAAGTGAAGAAATCGTCCCTTATATAAAGAAAATTATACAAGAACATTTACAAAGTAACTTTAAAATGAATACATCAATTTAAAAAACAAAAATAAAAAAGCTTAAAACACAGAGAAACTTTTTCATTTAATATATACAAAAACTCAAGAATATGATCCTAAAAGAGCTAACATTTTCTAGCTATAAGATCTCTGAGGTAAACAGTCATTTTAATATTCTTGGAAATGCAAGTCACTAGAGGCTACAGATTCTATGAGGAATCTCAGTGACTCCTCATAATGAGGAAGATTAAAGGCAAACCTCTATCTAGCATTTCCACTCGTGACTGCTTTCAAAAATACTGCTATCATAATCTCTAACTTATAAACTTTTCGAAAATGTGCTTATGGTCATTAGTTTCTAAACAAAACAAAACAAAATCCAAAAAACCTGCCAACACTCTAGATGTCCATCAAAAGGATTAAATTGTTTTTGTATATTACTCAAGCAATTAGCAAAAAAAAGGAAAGAAATCAATCTTAACAAAAAAAGAAAGAACGGTTGTTTGTTTTTAAGTTCTCCTGTACTATATTATTGATTATTTATAATTTGAAATGCAGTTTCCCCAAGAAACAATGTTAAATTTCTTAAATGTTGATTAAAATTTCTTAAACATAAATTGCAGTTGAACCATGATTAATAGCCATCTACAATATGATTTCTGTGAGAAATAGCAATCTATGAGAAATAGCAATAGTTGCTGGTGTGTGTAGCTTCACACACCAGCAACACATCTTCCCAATCCTCAAAAGAGAGAACAGCTTCCCCTTATTACAGCTCAGCCCAGAGTGGATACCCCAAAACGAAAACACCAAACATGGCAGGAAACACTGACACCCCCTCAAAGAAGGACAGGGGAACACTCTCACTTCTAAAGTGGGAGAAGAAAATTGCTTTGTCGCCAACAACAATGGCTCCCACACAGATTTTCTTTCTACCCAGACCCTTTTAGGCAGCAAGAAATTGAGAACTTTCATAATGGTAAATACTGAGGCTGAGCAGAGAAGGTTAGGCCATGAGATTGCCATTAAGGGTCCCTACAGCAGGACCTACGAGAACTGGCAGCAACAGGTCCCGAAATGGGATGAGAACTGGCAGCAAGAGGTCCCCAAATGAGATTTCCATGGATTGTGATAAGCACAAAGGGCAGCAGGCAACTATAGCTATAGAGGGGAGAGCAAGAACCAAAGAAAGGTCCAGGCTTGGCAGCAACAAATGGCTGCAGTGGCTGTGGGAGACCTCACAGCTACATGTGCGAAGCTACCAGATTCCTTGCTGTTACAATCAGATATGCACGGATAATCGTCATTAACAATGCGGTAGTTTTACATACGAAGTTCTGAGATATACAATATGACATTTACCTGTATAAAGCTTTTAAAAGATTCCTCACAGTCTGAACTTTGGTTCAACTCTCTCCCATCTATCTATCATCCTCTCTCCCTACACTCTAGCCAAACTCAATTACCTGCAGTTCCCACACACCTTGTGATCTCTTGCCCTCTGGACTTTTTTGCTTATGCTGTTAACTCCACCTTAAATGTCCATCCTAAAATCTTTCCCATCCCCCTACCCTCTCCTCCACAGAGTAATCACAGATTCTCTACCCCTCACACCTCTCAAACCCCACAGCCTGCCCTTTCTCTGAAGTCCCCTGGCTTTCTCTCCATACCTCCCTATGGCACCTGGGCCTGTACAACTTAGAACCTCATACTGTATCTTAGCTCCTCAAAAAGACCATCAGGTCTTGAAAGCTATGTCTGGAACTGATTATAACCTTTTCACCCCCAGCTATGCCTGTTTCAGTACCCCACGCTGAGTAGGCATTAAACAAACAAAAAATATTAACAAATTTTAAGAGCATGATTTTCCATTTATTTGGCAAAGGAAATCACTAAGTATATTAGAGTATGCACATACACATGCATCTGTGTGTGAATGGGGTGTGTGTGGATGTAAGGAGAAAAATACTAATATAAACAAATGAAATTTTAGAGCAGAGTATCTCAGAAGGATTGATAAAGAGGTCTTGAAGAGTATCTTTCATTGATGTAAAATCGAGAAAAGAAATGTGATAAAAGAAAAAAACCTATCATCATGGCAGGCTATAAAAAGGACCTTGGTTGGCCATATTTTAATGAAATTCCTCTTACAGGCATGTAGGCAAATACAAACATCACAAATAACTGAAAAGCCTGGTTGCTCAACTGAAAAAGCACTTCTCTCAGGAGGGAGCTGCTTAGACGATAACAACTGTAATGTGTCTGAATACGCCAAATCATTATTCAGCATACTATACAACTGGAAAACAATCTGAAAAATCTATCACCATAAATCATTGCTTTAAAATTATAATACACTATACCTTTCTCAGACAAATACACACCTGTGAATTCTGAAGAGGAATCAATTAGGATTTTACCAATGTAAATACATTTTATGGGAAAAAAAAATAAAACCAACATTACAAAGTGGCAAATATTAATACTCATTTTTCAAACAGAAAGCAAGGGTAGATTCCGGAAACTATGTACCAATAAGTCTGTCATCAATTCCCAACAACACTCGGGACTAATAATTGAATAGGCAGTGAAATCACTGAGAAAAGAATGTGATAGTTATTCATGAGCTCTCTAAGAATATATCATGCCTTACTTTGTTTACTTTCTCTTTTGATAGCATTACTAAATTGGAAAATCAGAAATACTCTACCTCAAATTCAGTAGCACTTGGCAAAGTTTCTCACAAAGTCACTACAGACAAATTTATAGAGAAAGGGGCAGAAACTTGAGTTTTAGTCTGGGTTCCACTCTTACTAGCTACATGAATAAAAGCAAATCATTTAACCTCTGTGAACTGTAGGTCCCTCAACTGTAAAACAGAGATAACATCTATGCTATCTCCTCCCTAGAGTTGTTTTAAGGATTAAAAGTGCCAATATATTCACAGACAGTGTTAAGTTTCCTTGGGCCACACATTCCTTTGAGAATCCAATGAAAGTGATATCTCCCTTGCCCCCCCCAAAAATGCACATTCACACAAAATTAAGTGTACAATTTCAAAGGGCCCATGGATCCCTGAAACCAGAGCTTCTGGTTCAACTTGCTATACTCAGAGCCTACCATAGTGCTAGAATGCAGTCTCAAAAACTGCTGAACGAATTTAAAAAAATGGACTGGAAAGACTGGTCACAGTTAATTAATCAACCATATATATAAAGAGTATTGATTAACCGATCGACCTGACTGGCAGTATACACTGTACAATTTTTCTCCAGATGGTTATTTAGCAACATGTATCAAGACCTGCCTTAAAAATGTTTATACTCTTTGATTAAGTAATTCCACTTTTAAGAATTTATCCTAATAAAAGATTCAAAAATATATTAAAATACTTATATGCTAGGATAGCCAAATGAATTGTTATTTCTAATAGCAAAAAAAAAAAAGGCAAGAAAAGCAAGAAAGGAAGGGAGGGAAGAAGGCAAGAAGAAAGGAAAATAATCACAATATCTTATAATTGGGAAATGGGGGGAAATTACAATATCTAAGTTATAGAATACTATATAAACACATTTTTTAAAGAGTAATTAACAATATGAGGACAAGCTCATAAGACGATAAGAAAAGGTAAGTAAAAACTAATTAAACACAGCTTGCTAAATGAGTTAAGTGCTTAGAACAGTATCTGGCATATAATAAACACTATATAAGTGTTCGTTAAATACATTTTTAAAAAATCATATATATAACATGAACCCAACTTAAAAATTTTTAAATAATGTGGATGGGGTGGGCCCCGTGGCGCAGCGGTTAAGTGCGCACACTCCGATGCTGGCGGCCCGGGTTCAGATCCCGGGCATGCACCAACACACCACTTGTCAGGCCATGCTGTGGTGGCGTCCATATAAAGTGGAGGAAGATGGGAGCGGATGTTGGTTTAGGGCCAGTCTTCCTCAGCAAAAAGAGGAGGATTGGCATGGATGTTAGCTCAGGGCTGATCTTCCTCACAAACTCACACACACACACACTCGCACGCACTAAATAAATAAATAAATAGAATTAAAAAAAAATAATATGGATGAATGTATAGAAAGACAGAAGGAAGGATGGATGAAAATGTTAATGGTAATTATATCCAAGCGATTTTTATTTTCTTTATATTTCTCTGAAGTTTCTATATTTTGTACACTGATCCTAAATCATTGTTAAAATCAGAAAAAATAGGTCCTAGAGTCAAGATGGCGGCGTAGGCAGACTCTGAACTCACCTCCTCCCGTGGACACAGCCAATTTACAACTACTCGTGGAAAAATTACCCCTGAGACAGAACTG